GGTACCTGACAAGCCAAAGTCTCTTAACAAGTAGAATGGAAAATTGTGTCCCCCACCACCTAGTTTCTAGATCTACAAGTTGCTGTGCTACTTAAGCTGTACCCACCATATCTAATAGTACTTATGGTATCTATGGATAAGTATGTGGTATCTAGTCATTTTCAAGACAAATATGTAAGTTGATTTCAAAGTAGAATCCTGGGGTCCTCAATAAAAACCATAGCTTGTATACTTGCACTTTAGTTATCATTCATAAAGCAGGTCTCTGCATGCTGTTGAGTTTTAGTAGGTATGAAATGCCTAACCATGGGACAGCAAGTAACAACATATAAGGGATTGTACTTCATAAGTTGGATATGATAATGTTCACCAAGTGATAAGGTCAGATGAATTCAAGAAAGAGCCACCCTGATAGAAATGTTGCATTCAGCATCCAGGAAGTGTAGACACAAATAAAGCATCAGATGATCCAGATATCCATGGCATAGTCTCTTGTTATACAATGATGACCCTCCCTTAAATCACTCCTACAACCTTATGAGATCTATGACCAACAGAAGGTAAAAATACTAAATCTAGTGTACAGATAAAGAGCTCTAGTAGTGTAGTGGTTACGAATTGGACTGCTAACTTCAAGGTTGGCAGTTCGAAACTACCAGCTGTTCCACGGGAGAAAGATGAGGCTTTCTGCTCCCGTAAAGATTTACAGCCTCGGAAACCCCATACAGGGTCACTATGAGTCGGAACTGACTCTACTATACTTAAGTAGTCTTAGTGTGGCCCTGTGGGTTAATGCGTCAAACTGCAAAGCCGTTTGTACTGCAAGGTCGGCGGTTCAAGCTCACCAGCTGCTCCTTGGAAACCCTATACAGGGTCGCTATGGGTCAGAATCGACTCGACAGCACTTAGCAACAACAACAAGCGCACAGATGTATCAGCATAAAATTATGATACTTGTAAATGGATTGCTCCCTCACTTCACCCTCAGAGTTGTTAAGTGCCGAGTTTGTTCCCACTCATAGCGACCCTATATAAAGTTTTCGGGAAGCAGCTGGTGGGTTTGAATCACTAACCTTGTGGTTCAAACCGATCTTGCGTTCCAGTGCTTATCCTACAGTATCATGCCAGGATTCCTCAGTTGGAGTAGCCAATTGGAGTAGCCATAAAGAATAGTAGTAAAGAGAAAAAAATTCCCAGTGGACAGAATTATTTGCCTGCCTTCTCATATGGAGCAAGTAGTAGCCTGAGATTGTCTCCTTAACTGTGGACAGTGATTTTGCTTGTATGTCAGAGACATGGAAAGAGAAGGATCAAAGACTGAATTTTTTTTTTAATCTTGGTAAGAGGCATGTGAATGGGTCAATAGGAACAGGAACAAAGTTTATAAGTCTCTATGCCTTTTATTAAGGAGTTCTGGTAGCGTAGTGGTTACGAATCGGGCTGCAAACCTTAAGGTCAGCGGTTCGAAACTACCAGCCGCTCCGCGGGAGAAACATGAGGCTTTCTACTCCCGTAAGGATTTACACCCTCGGAAACCCTGTACAGGGTCGCTATGGGTCGGAACCGACTCGACGGCACTTAACAACAA